TGGAAATACAAATACCATTTGACCCAGCCATCCCATTACTAGGTATATACCCTAAAGAAGTGAGAGCCATAACAAGAACAGATATATGCACACCGATGTTCATCGCAGCACTATTTACAATAGAGATTACAGCCTTGGAAACTCTATAGGGGCAGTTCTACTCTGTCCTCTAGGGACGTTGTGAGTTGGGATTGACTCAACGGCAAGAGGTTACTCTTCCTGTGACCAATCCATTCTCCACTTAGCAGTTGTGAGCGAGCTTTTCTCATCAGGTTACTGGCCTGTTCAAAACACAGCCATGGCTTCCTGTGGCTTTCAGGGGGGAGCCCAGCTTTCTTGGCCTGAGATGGCCGCCCTCCCTACCATACCTCTCCACTCTTACCTTCTCCCTCTCTTTCATTCAGGGCAGGGCCACACTGGCACACCCTGTGGCTCATCTTTCACCCTTCCCTGGCCCCAGCTACTCCCCCATTCGTCCCTCAGAACACAGAGTCAATGCCACTTCCTCAGGGACACCCAACTTGACCCTTTAGGTGGGTCAGCCCCATTTGGAGGTTCTCACGGGGCCTGACTTTTCCTGAAATTCCAAACATGTGAAAATGGCAATGAAATCATTCCATGAGGCCCAGGACTGTCCATTTTGTTCACTGCAAAATTGTCCAGGGCCTCAGGCAGCACCTACATACAAATACATTTTTGCTGAATCAGTAAATTAAAAGAAAGAAGAGTCAATAGTAATATTCAGCTTCAGTAATCATCATTCCATAAATCATTAGTTTTATGACAAGATAATCTCTGATAAAAGCTAAGTCAACTCAGGAAACCCTGTAGACGACATCCCTTCATGGAGATTTACAACACAAATAATATAATAAAGGTCTGAGAAGCCCTGCAAAAAAGAAATCGAACTTTGTTTAAATAAAAATTTCCGGAACTCACCTGACTGCATAATCTCCCCTCTCATTTTTTTCCCAAGACAGCACAGGTTAACATTCCACCTCTAGGAATCTAGAAGCCAGCAGGAGTTTTTACTGGAGAAGTACTTTTAAAGGCCAAGGTCACCCTAGTAGATCAGGTGATCCGCAGCCTGTATGACCATGAGACCAGAAGAACTAGGTGGTGCCTGGCTACTACTGTCAACCATGTCAACCATTTGGAGGGGGATCAGTGTGGGAGATCCTGGATAGAGCAGGCAAACAATGTGGAACCAAACTCAAGATCATGAAAAAAAAAGACCAGGTTTGCTGGTCTGATAGAGCCTGGTGAGACCCCTGAAACTATGGCCCCTAGTTAGCTTTCAGGCCTGGAACTGAACTCACTCCCTGTGGCTTCTAGCCAAACAACAGACAGGCATATGAGGTGAACATTTACATCAGGGAGATACATTCCTTGGAGTGATCAATCGTGAGAGAACAGAAGGGCAGTGTTTGCACAGGGAGACAGCTCAGGGGGCGGGAGTGCATGGAAGGGAAGGACACAGGGAAGAGGTAACCACAGGGCGGAAGTGGGCGGGGAGCTGTCACATTGGGGGAACTGCAGTCACTGTCATGAGACAACATGTGTATGAAATGCAGTGTGGAAAATGAATTGGCTCTGTAAACTTTCACCCAAATCACAATAAAAATTCAAATAAATAAAGGCCAAGGTCACCTTGGAGGCCTGGGCCTTAGACAGTGAGTAACTAGACAACGTCACAAAAGGGTCAGCACAGAGCCAGGGCTGGGGCCAGTGAGCTCAAGGGAAGTGAAAATACAACTCTGACTTTTCTGATCTGATCATTTTTCTACCTTATTTTCTTAAAGGTCATGTTCCTCACACCTTAAAGAATTCATTTGGTAGTTTAAACTGTAGCTGAAGAGAACTACAGGTTTTCACTACAGCGATTATTATGCTAACAAATTGCCATAGTAACAAATCTAAGCCAAAAATACCTTCATTTAACAAGTTAATGAAGAAACAAGACACTGAGCTTTCTGGCACTTGTGAAGGTGAAAACATTATTAAAACTTCATGTCATAACCACATACTTTGAGGGAATGAACAGCTGGGCATGGGGGCTCAGAACCGTAGTCTCTGGGGACACTAAGGTCAATTGGCACAACACAGTCCCAAAGACTAGGAGCTCTGGTGGCTCCTAGTGCTTAAGGCACTTAACTGCTAACCAGAAGACTGGCGGTTCAAACCCACCAGCCACCCCTCGGAAGGGAGACTGGGCAATCTACTTTGGTAGTGACACCGCCTCAGAAACCCAAGGAGGGGTCGCTATGAGTCGGTGCCGACTGGACGGCACAGAACAAGAAGTCCCAAAGACAGTGTGCTACGTCCTACTTTGGTGAGTAATGAGTGGGGTTTTAAAAGCTTGTGAGCAGCCATCTAAGGTACAACTATTAGTGTCTCTCCGTCTGGAGCAAAGAAGAGTGAAGAAAATCAAAGACTCAAGGAAACAATTAGTCCAAGGGACTAATGGACCATGTGAACCCCAGCCTCCAAGACCCTGAGACCAAAAGAACTGGACGGTATCCCGCTACCACTATTGACCACTCTTAAAGGGATCACAATAGGAGGTTTGAGATAGAGTAGGATAAAAATGTGGAACAAAACTCAAAATCATATAAAAGACCGGGCTTACTGGTCAGACAGAGACTGGTGGAACCCTCAAGACTATGGCTCTTACACATCCTTCAAGCTGGAAACTGAACTCACCCCCATGGCCCAGCTTTTAGCCAAATGATACACAGGCTTGTAAGGAGAACAACAGCACTAGGAAAGCATGCACTTATTAGGACGATGAAGCATTGCAAAATCAAAAGGGCAGCCAGCATGTGCCAGGGATAAAGCTAGGAAGGCAGGAAGGAGCAGAAGAGAAGGATGGAAGGAAATGGGAGACACGGGAGGGAGTACTTAAAGTGCTGTGGGATGGAAAACCAATTTGCCCTGTCAACTTTCATCCAAATCACAATTTTAAAAAACTTGTTGATGTTGCTAGGTGCCGCTGAGTCGGCTCCGACTCACAGCCACCCTGTGTCCAACAGAATCAAACGCTGCCCGGTCCTGTGCCAGCCTCACCATCCGTGCTATACCTGAGCCCATCGTCGCAGCCACCGTGTCAGTCCATCTCGTTGAGGACTTTCCCCTTTATCGCTGACCCTCCACTTCACCAAGCATGTTTAAAAAAAAAAGGGGTGGGGTGGGGGGTGGGGAGGTGGTAGGTAATTCATTTATATATTCAGTTGCAAAGAAAAAAATGTCAGATCACTTTGAAAACGATCATTTATGAAGTCCATCTCTTAAAACAAGGTGGATGCTAACTTACGACCGACGAAAGCTGGTGACAGCTCCTTCCTATACTTTTTTTTTTTTTTTTTAAAGTCGGGGGGGGGAGGGCAGAGAAGGCATATCTGTCACAGGCCTTCTCCCTCTTCTTCCTGAAAATGCTACTGACCCCAGAAGGTTCTAGGAACCTTCATGGGATCCATCGCAGGGCTGCTTCATTTCTTATCGGCATCTTTCTCCCACCTCGACCTGGGCTTCTCAAGCCCAGCTGGTCTCAGAATCCCCCCAGAGCAGTGTGCAGCACACAGAAGGCCCCACCCCCATGTTGATGGCAGACCCCTGCCCTTTAGCATGCTTGGTTCCAGGACAGTCCGTGAGGCTGGGCCGTGTCTCAGGTCAGTGATGTAAACCCGCGTGTAACAGTAGTGGCAGGGACGTGGTGGTGAGGGCAGGGGTGCTGGAAACTGAATGCATGTGGTCCACAGGTCCATTCCGAGGACTTGTTATTGGAGGTGATCCTGACCTTCCAAAGCACTTCCCCATTGCCTCCTTTTTCATTTTCAGAAGAAATTATCTCCAAATCTTTAGCTTTTTGGTGGCAAAAAGATCTGGAAAACACTCAGAAAAGATCCTACCTCTGATAGATTTTTCTTTTTCTTTTTTAAATAAACCAAAGACAAAGCAATTGAGTTTTGCTCCTAATGTATACAAATAACTCATCATGTCACCTCCAAATTGGGCAAAATTCTTTATCATCAATGTTCAATACGTGGAGCCAGGAGATGAGATAAAAGTAAAAAGCGAAGCACAAGAGCAGCGTTCAGAGCAGATCTTAAATAAGAAAACAGAATAGGAGACCATTTAAAGGTCCTGAAGGCATGACGTACTTCTCACGAGGCTGCAGAAACTTCTGCCAAGAGAAACAAGAAAAAGCTACTAACAGGGCAGTGGCTAAGTAAATTGTAGTCAATTCCTGGAAAAGGATACTCTGCAACCAGTAACACGATGCCACGGAAGATTAGTTTCTCAACTGTGCTCAATGGGAAAATTAAAACACAGTCCATGCGGTATACTGTTGTGTGCCACCAAGTAAATTCTAACTCACCACGGCCCTGTGCGGCCGAGCAGGGCTGCTCTGTACAGTTGATGATTCTTTATGGAGGCAGATCGCCAGGTATTCCCTCCCAGGAATCCAACGGTGGATTCAAACCTTCTGGTCTGCAGCTGAGCACAGCAGGCTGAACTGCACGTAGTCCATTTTAATGAAACGCACATATGCGTATGCCGGACTGTTGACCGATTATCTCTGGGTAGTGACAACACACGTTGTTTTTGTTTCCTTCTTTTTGCTCATGCATTTTGTAAATCGTATGTGAAGAACGTAAGTACTGCTTTCAGGATAACAAAAATAGTTCATGGATGCGTGCAATTCAGATCCATTTTTGGGAACTGTCTTGGAGGGGATCTGGCCTAGTCTGTTGCATTTTGTTTTTTTCAGGTGCACTGAGCTGCTTAGCACCTCTTGAAATGAAGCAACATCGGTAAGCTCCTGCTGCAAAGGCAGGGCAGACACAGTGAACCAGTAAGGGGGCAGGAGCACAAGGGGAAAGGTCTTGTGTTGACTTAGATTGGGTGCTTTTCACACAGAGAACTCTTCCAGCCTCAACTCCAGTCTTAAGTGGAGGCATCCCCACTCTCATTATGGCTCACTCAGAGAGGTGAAGGAGGTGGCTCAGGTCACACAGCTGTGAGTGGTGGCACCGGGACTCGAACCCAGGTCAGCGGGACTCCAAAACCTGGCATCTTTCCATTATAAAGTGTTGCCTCTTAGCATAAGAATTCTGCATATAGTCCACAAAGATTGTTTTTCTTTTCTTCTTCTTCTTTTTTAAAATTGTAATTTGGGTGACAATTTACACAGCAAATTCACTTTCCATATAGTAGTTCACATACCCTTTGTCTCGTGACATGGACTACAATTTACGCCAATGCAACAGCCCCCCTCCCACTTTCTCCTGACACAATAAAGATTTTAAGAAAATGCTAGCTACCACAGAGGAACTATGCTTAGACAAGAAATTCCACAACAAAGGCAACGAGTCAGTACTGAGCTAACTGGAAATTCTGTTCTCTAACAGAACAGACTGGCTCCAAACCCTTAGCTCACCTCTAATCCACCATCCAGGTCTCTTCTCTCCCACGGCTCTGACTGTCGGTGCCACCTTTGTTTGCAGGCAAAGCTGTCTGGGCTGCCTGCCCATACACGCTAAATGAGTACACAACTGCACAGTTCCAGGGAACAGCCCGGGTGCAGATAAGAAGCACCGGACGTGATCCGAAATGCACTTCCTTTTCCTATGGGCTTCTTGATATTTTATGATCCATGTTTACTTTCTCAGATCTTCTCACTGAGGGCTGTAACACCAACGAACATCTGAAGATCACAGTTCCCGAAGGAGCCTGCACGCACAGCATCTTAAGGTGAGAGGCTTACTGTTATAACTACCCTTTATTTTACGGCTGGGAAGGCAAAAGCACAGAGCGACAGTCTGTGGGAAAGCGGGGCCTCTGTTCTCTGCTCTTGGTTGCAACCAGTCATCGGCTGCCTTGGTGTCAATTCCGACTCATGACAACTCTGTGTGTGCCAATGGCTGATTTTTCTGGAGTAGACAGCCAGGTCTTTCTTCCCAGGCACCTCTGGATGGACTCAAACCTCAACCTTTTGGCTAGCAGCTGAGTGCCCGACCCATTTGCACCACCAAGGAGAACAACACTGCCCAAACTCTGATCCTTTAACTTGGCTGCTTCATCATCACTGGAGGAATGTAATCAAAACATAACTTCCGGGGACTCACCAAACACCAACTGAATCAGAAGCTCTGAGGGCGGGGCCTGGGGATGTTGTTCCCTTTAATAAGTACTCAGTGATGCTCGTGAGAAGCTGGACTCAGAACCCACTGCTGAAAGGGCAGGAAAGGTGGGCTCTGCTCTCCTCACCACCCCTGGACTCTGACCACATGCCTGGGGCATGTCACAGCTTGTTAGGACAGAAAGGCATAGAAAGACAAGCGGTACACCAATCCCTCAGAGGACAAACAATTGCACACATAGCTGCTCAGAAGTACGTGTCTTTGTTAGGAGAATGTTTGGTTCCGCCACTGGAAGAGGCCATTTCTCTTCCCATGCCCCCACACTCACTTGGTCAGGACAATAGAGACAGCATCGTTGAGAATACTCTCCCCGAAAACCAGCATGTTGAGTACTGGGTCCACGTGAAGGGCGTTGAAAATAGCAATTGTAGCTACCGGATCGACAGCAGATATTAGGGAGCCAAATGCAAAACTGTAGGAAGAGAGAAGGAAGGGCCGAGTCTGTAATATTCATCATTGGCCTCACTGCTGAGACACAACTCAGAGACTGGGTCTGATGTAAGCAGCTGAAGTAACTAGAGGAGAATGTGTGTTCCTCCATTTACAGTATCTGCCAACTGACACTGTGGTGGAGCTGTGAAAGGGCCACTCAGAAATTGTTTGTGAAGGAAAACTTTGAGAATGGTTAGGGTGATGGTCAAACATGATGAACATAATCAATGATACTAACCCGTACATGTGAGGATTGTTAAAATGGCAAATGTTGTCTTACACGTATGTTTATTACAACTAAAAAGAGAAAGCGAGAAAGAGAGATGGAGTTTGGATTGCCACTGCAAATACCGAGACTTTATTCGGTCCAGTGATGGGTGGAAGATTTTGTGCTTAGCAACTTTACAAATCCCAACCTTCTTGGTCAGAAGAGATGGAACCAGGATGGCTCAGAGTTACCCCTGGGAACCTCCCTCCAAACGGCCCATGAGCTCCCAGGTCTGACTTTCTTTGCCTCGTGCCACCAGGCCATCAAAAGGTTATCTGGGACTGACCCCAGTCTCTACAGGGACGTGCTAGTAGTGTGCTTCAGGGGATGGATGTCTTGGCTGGCCAGCACCAAGACTGAAGCTGCCTGCCAGTCAGGTCAATGGATCTATCTGTCAGGACCCATAAAGATCTAATTACCACCAACAAATATTATTAATTGCCTAGAATGTTTCAGGGACTGAGGGGAATAATTATTGTTGACATTTATATGGCACTTACCATGTCTCAGGCACTGATCTAAGTACTTTCCACATAAAAACAGCTGTCATAGCATTGACTCTGACTCATAGCAACCCTCCTGACAGATAAGAACTGCCCAATAGTGTTCCCAAGGCTGTTATCTTTACAGAAGCAGATGACCAGTCTTTCCTCCCATGGTGTGGCTGGTGGGTTTGAATCTCTAACCTTTCAGTTAGCACCTTAGTGTTTAACCACTGTGCCATTAGGGCTCCTATACTTTACATCTAGTAACACAGTAATTCACATAACCACCATATGAGTGCGTGTTACTACCCCTACTACATAGGAGGAAACTAGGGGACAGTGAGGTAAAGTGACCCCTCCTAAGGTCTAACAGCTAACAAGTGGCAGAACCAGAACTCAAACACAGGCTATCTGACTAGCAATATCCAGAGAAGACAATTTCAGAAAATGCCAAGTGTTACACAGGAAAGAAATCAGGGTGACATGAGCACAAGTGTCTTGGTCAGGGGAGAGGGGGCGGGAGATACTTAGACTGGGTGGTCAGGAAAGGCCTCCCTCTGAAGAGATGCTACTTATCTGAGCAACAACCTCTATGACATGCAGCTGGCCAAGGCAAGAGTTGAGGGCAGAGACAACAGCAAGATTACCCGTCAGGTGGGAGTGGGCTTGGTGGCCAGTGTGGCGGAGTGGCAGGCGATGTTAGAGGCTGGTGTTGGGGGCAGGCCAGATCACATCATGGGCCTTGAGGGCTGGTTGGTGAGGAGTCTGGGTACCTGATTCTCTCAGCCTGGTCCTCTTTCCTCTTAGTGTTCTGCAAGCTTTTTATCCTCTACTTTCTTTCTCAGCAGGACCTTAGGTCTGCCCCTCCAGCAAAGGGGACAGGCCTGTGGGGACCGTCTGCAATCTACTTCCTGCCTTCTCCAAGCTCACAGTCCGGAAGGGAAGAGAGCGCACTGTCTGGGATGGCTGACGGGAAGGTGATGTGGGCCTGGAGTGCTCTGACTGGGCTCAGGGAGAGGAGTGCTGAAGCTTGGCGGTGGCACCTGTTCAGTTCTCTGCATCAGTCAGGAACTTGGTATGTGGATCCCAGGGAAGCTCCCCACGAGATCTGAGTCGTGGGAAGTCATCGGGAGAGCATGATCCCCTCAAGGGGTGTGTCTGGACTCCAAGCTGAGTACTTTCCAGACCCCAAGCCCCTACCTCATGTCCAGACTCCACAGAGGCTGTCCTGCTGGGAGCTAGGTGTGTCTTTGCTGGCCTCCCTCCCTCCCAGCAAGCTCCAAGCGGGTGGAGGCTGTGTTTTAGTTGTGCTTGTCTTTCCAGGATCTGTTAAGCGCAAGGCCCAGAGGTATTTGTGAGAGGAAAGAATGGAGAAAGAAGAGAGGAAGGCAGGGAGAGGAGGAAGGGCAGGGAAGGTACTGCCACCAAAAGACCGCCAGCACACGGGCCCGTTTTGTTGGCAGCTGGCCTGAGGTCCTCACACTCAGTGGTATCACTAGGGTTGGCGTCACCTAGTGTGGTAACTCCCGTAACTACTGTGTTACTGATCTCTTGGGTGGCCTGGTGGGTAGAGCAGCTTGGCCTCACCTTCCATGGCTCCCTGTAGCTCCCCCTTTTCCTATTGGCCAACATGGAGACTCTCCTCTCTGCCCAGTGGTGGGTGCCATGGCCCACTCATACCCTGACTGGTGGGTGATGGGGTGTGACAAGTTACCACACCGGGTGATAGGTGACACCATCTCTAGCGATACCACTGCCTTGGTAGCACCAGTGCACCTGCAGCAGACCCTGGGGTCATTTTGGTGTCACCCTGACAGTGTCAGGGAATGCGTTCTACATCCTCACACCCCTCAGTGACACCAAAGCTCACACTACAACCCAGACAGAGTCTGTCCCTCCTCTTCCTCTTCCATTCCCACTCTCATCACCCATGGCAAATTCATGAGGGGTCCTAAAGGAAACAGGACATCTGAAAAGTCCTGAAGGGATAGGAGGGGTGAGAGAGGGGGACCTCTGACGGGTGGGTGCTGGGTGCTGATTGTGCGCTTAGCTGGCCTCGCCCTCCATTACTAGCAAAGTCCATGGAGTGGACATCCACTGCCCTCTCTACTCAGCATCCAGGCCCCCTGCCCACGTTCTGGTGGAAACCACACCTCCCCACTCTGTCCACGCAGTCATGTGGGGCTCTAGGAGTGGACGTGGGACTCAACCTTGGCCATTGCAAGCCATGGCCAGCCATCTGATGGGGTCATCTGGAAACAGGTTTGCTCTTTACTTCTGGCTCCTACAGAATGGGAATGAAAGTGACTTTCACTATTTATTCATATATCAGAACTACCTTACAACAGAACCTCCAAAATTTATGTCCCTGGGAAAACGGAAATGGGACTAACTTGATCTTATCAGAGGCCCACTGCTCATGGAAAGGGCTCCAAGAGGCTAGTTCCCAGGTTGCTGGTAGAGACTGAAGCTCTGGATTTGCATGACGTGAAGGCCAGGGGCTGAGCTCTTGGTCCCACGTCCCACCTCCCCCCTCAAAGACAGAACTAAGCGCTGACGGTGCTGCAGAGGCCCAGAGCAAGGCTGCCCACTGCCTGTGCACTTTTCTGCACTCAATCTGGAACCTTCTGGGAGACAGCTGCCTAGGTTGCTTCTTGCCGAGCCATTATGGACATTTCCGACTGGGCTCCTAGACAGCTGCTTCAACAGCTCGCTTGCAGGAGCTTCAGCCTGAGGGGGATGGCCATCAACAAAGCCCTTGGTCCTGCTGTCCCTTGCCTCCCTCCTGCCACTTGGTGGGAATCCCAGAGAGCCAATTTCAACTCCATGCTCTCCTCCAGCCTGTCCTCAGTCTATCAGGAAGAGGACTTTTCTTCAGGGCTAGTGGAAGATTCAAAAATTAGGTGAAGATGATTCTTAATAATAAAAAGACAACGGGAGAGGAAATACTGCAAAAATAATAGTAATAATAAAAAAGCAAGAACAAAAACAAAAAATAAATAAATGAAAAGACAATGGCGCAGTGC